AAAGAAAAAGGTAGACATGTTTTCCTGGTGTAAATTTTTCAGGGATGTGTGACTTTTTTACACTATTAGATAATTCTTCTGGCCAGTAATTGGACTTAGGCTTTTTATTCTTTATTATCATTTCTTCTGTAGAAATTGTCTTTTTTCAAAAGAATCCTTACTGCTATTGACCATTTAGCCTCAATGAAAACTAATGGATCTGTAAAAATAAATGAAGCTCACTGGGTGTGAGTAAATGCTAAAGAGAGTTAATAAGAAATAAATCAAAGGATTGTTAAGCAGTGGGGAGGGCCCAATTGAAATTAGATGGCCTAAGTTTATAGTGGCCCCAGCCAGTCTGGTTTGTTATTTTCTCTAGCAACATTCCATGGGTGAGTCTTGAGTAGAAATGGATAAAGTGGATTATGTGAATAACCCAGAGTTGGAGCTTAGCAGAACAAGCATGGGCAGATGAAGGAACTCAAAGATTTTAGAGTACTAAAAAATACATTATTGAAATGGGATTAGTAATGGTCAATCACTCACAAGCATTTGTTAAGTATTTTCTTTGTTCTAAGCACTGTGCTAGGTGGTACAGTGAATAGAGTACCTGGCCTAGAGTCAGGAACACCTAAGTTCAACTCTGACCTCAGATATTTACTAGCTGTGTGACCCTGGGTAAGTCACTTAACCCTGTTTGACTCAGTTTCCTCATCTGTCAAATGAACTGGAGAAGAAAATGGCAAACCACTCCAGTATCTTTGCCATGAAAACCTCAAATGGGGTTATGAAGAATCAGATATGACTGACATGGCAGAAACAACTGAACAACAACTGTGCTAGGTATTGATGATACAAATATAACAAATGAGACAATCCCTTCTTTCGTTGTTATTACATCTTAATAAGAGACAATAAGTACATGTATGAGTATAAATAAACATAGTTGTAAATAATAATATAGAAAAAATACAAATAAATACCCCAAAAAAGAAGGCTAAAAGGGGGTTGATGGACTGGGAGAATGGAGAGAAGGCAAGGGACTAGATGTCATGATAGGAGCAGGTTCCACGCAGATGAGGGAGTAAGAGAAGCTGAAGGACAGGGAAAGCTGAGAAGTCGAGATTGTAGACTCAGAAGAGTTCTGAGTGATGATAATGTCCACGGTTTGGCCAAGCTGAGTAAAGCCTGATGGGGAATGAGATAAAGGGGACTGCAAAAGGAATTATGAAGTGAGAGGGCTAGGAAGGAGCTCAACCTCCATGTTGAAATCACAGAGGAGAAGGTCAAAGGATGGGGTGGAAAGAAAATTAATTAGTTGGATACTGAACTCCACAAGGAAGATGGGATTGTGTCTTGGAGGTGAAGCTGGTCTAAATGTATGGAGTGGACGTCAGGAATTTTAACCATATTGTTTTCTCCCTGTGCTAATTTATCATTTCTGATAAGGCTGGCAAAAATAACCCTAACATATAAAGGGCAAAATGGACAGTATTGATTGCAATCCCATCCCAAATGGTATAGCACTCCTGAATACAGATTTACTCACTAGCCTTTCTTTACATCTCCAGCATTTATTCCAGTGCCTGGCACATAGTAAGCATTTCATAAATGTCTTTGACTGATAAGCAATATCAAGTCCAATTATTGTTTAATCTTTAAGTCTCTGCCCTGTTTATAGGCTATCTCCAATTTACAAACAGGTTGTGTTCAAAAGCTTGTTTGTAAGAACATATTTTTTTGAAGTTATGAGCAGTAACTTCTCAGGCTAACCTATAACATAGCTTAAAAAAAACCCAGTACTACTAATTAGTAAAACTAAACTTGGAATTTGAGGAATGCAGCAACTAAAGGAATGTTTCTTGTTTTCTAGATCTCACCACTGTAATAACCCTTACCCCTGTACCCTAGGACAGCACTAGCTGCTGTCTAATTTACATGGGACAGAGATTTAGTGTTCATAAGATGAGGAGTCCCTATATTTATAATCACTTTTCCCCAAATGGTGCATATTTCCATTTTTGTGATACGTAGCCTTTTGGATTTATTCTCTGTCATATCCAGTCTACTCTGGTCCCATCAATTTTCCTGGTGTTTACCGACAAATTAAGTTTCCCTTGTAAATTTCATAAATGCCTTTTTTTATTCCCTCCTTTCAAATATTATTAATGAAGATGTTAAATCAGGCTGACATTATAACAATGCTTGAGGCAACTCTCCAGATATTTTTCCTCTATTCAACAGGGACACTGCATCATATATTATTAACTCTTGTTGCAATTTGTGGCCCCTTTAAAAGCCTATGTGATGGCACTCGTAGCCATGCCAACATAAATTAGTTTCATAAGTAAAATCTCATGAGCTGCTGAATTAAAAAATGTCATACCAAGACATGACATCCATTACATTAAACTGATCTATCACTCCTGTGATTCTTTAAAAGCAAAACAAACTAGTCCAACATAGTTTGATTTTACTTGTGTCCTGTTAGGATCATGTCCATAAGATGATAATAGCTTAGTTGCAGTAAAGAGCAAATTCTCATGATGGATGATCATGGTCAATTCATGGATATTATTGGATGATCATGGCTAATTCATGAATATTACTGGGAGTAATGAGTCCTTGAAAATATGAGACTCACATAATAATAGGTACCCTAAGGGTCAGGTGAGATATTAGGGGGTTTTCTATGTATTTAAAACCTGAAGAAAGAAATGACTAAAATGCTTCAAATATCTCTGATAACATCCATGTGGGTTGTCCTTCCACCTCTGCATTTTGTAGTCCAATCACACCCTTAGAAGACAGTGCAGAATTGTTGTGGCCAGCCTTCTGATGGTGAGCTTTTCCAGGCTTAACTAGGCCGGTCTTCAAGTAACAAACATCATAGTAAGCTACTTGAGGGCAAGGACTGTCTTTTGCTTCCTTTTGAATCCCTAGCTTTTAACACAATGCCTGATGCATAGTAGGCACTTAATAACTGTTGATTGATTGATTGATTATATACCTCATCCAATCGCTCAGTCTTTTCTGTGTGGTAGGAATGGCCTGTGGCATAGCCTTGGAGAACCCAGAACCACTGCCATGTCATAATGAGGCATCATAGAGGCCCATTGCTAATGGCACGAATGTTGTTAATGAAAAGGACTTTTTATTTATGAAACCATTTCTCTTTTTTTATCAGACCTGTGATGTCATCATTGTAGGGAGCTCCCAGATGAGGAAATTCCCTCCACCAACGCAGATTGGCACCTGCCCTGTAACTTATAGCCTTAGAGAGTTGCCTGGGACACTGAGAAGTTAAGTGACTCACCCATCTCACAATATGTATCAGAGGCAAGATTTGAACCCAAGTCTCCCTAATTCCAAGGCCAACTGTACCCTCTATGCCACAATGCCTCTCATGAGACACATTAGAATATCTAAACAGGAAAAACTAACTCTCAAATTGTAAATATGTTTTAAAATCAAAGTCATGAGGTTTACAGGGCAAGGAAAGGGAGGCATGAATATCTAGAGGTGAGGTGCACACAAAGCAAACAACTACAACTTTACACAAGTTTGCTGTTTTTCAGTCGTGTCCTATTCTTCGTAAGCCCTTTTGAGGTTTTCTTGCAAAAATAACAGAATGGATTGCCATTTCCTTCTCCAGTTCATACCTCCAGATGAGGAAACTGAGGCAAACAGGATTAAGTGACTTGTCCAGGGTCACACAGCTAGGAAGTGTCTGAGGCCAGATCTTAATTCAGGTCTTCTTGACTCTAGCCAGAACTAGCACCACTTAGCTGCCCTAAATTTCCGGTTATTAGTATAGGCTTTGAAGCTGGAAGAAAAGTTAGAGGTCAACCAGTCCAATCCCTTCATTTAAAAAAACTTTTTTCCACCCCTGAATTTTATAGATAAGGAAACTGAGGCCTAGAAGGGCTAATGGACTTCTCTGAAGTCATAATGATAATAAGTAGCTGAGCCAGGATTAAGCCTAAGACTTCTGGCTTGGACTCTGGGTTCCTTCTGTTGCATAGTGTTGCCTTACCCCAAAGCTGCTCCCGGTGCTGCATCTGAGGGGCAAGCTAAGGCTTGGATAGCGTAGGCTCTCTCTGTCCTTTAGGGCCAGTCTGGTGGCTCACTTTTTGGGGTTATGTTAGTCAATACAACTCAACACACCCTTATAAAATGACTACTGTGTGGCAGTCAATCAGTAAATCAAGTGCCTGCTATATTCCAGCAACTTTGTACTAATAGATACAAAGAAAGTCAAAAGACAGTCCTGCTCTCAAGGAGCTCACCTTCTAATATGTGGGGGAAGAGGACAAAACATAGAAACAACTAAATACAGACAAGACACATACAGGATAGATTGGAGATTAAAAAAAAAAAAGAAAGAAAGCAGAGGTGCCCAGCTATGTTTTCCCATCTCATGGTTTCCTTTTTATCCTGCTGCAGAAATAGTATTGGGATTTGGATTCACATTGGGTGAATCCCAAAATGAATAGTCATATTGGGTTCTAATACTGTCCCTACTGCTGTCACCTATGTGACCTTAAGCAAGTCACTTGCTGTGGGCTCAGTTTCCCCATCTATAAAATGAGGTTGCTAGGCTCATTCCAGTTCCAAATTCATGATTGGGCCATCCTTAAAAGTTCTCTGTGTCATGCATAGAAATATGAAAAAATGATGAGGTCCAGTCCTCAGCAAATAACTATAATGGCTTCTCTGTTCTCCATTGTGGTCTAAAGAGAGAACATGGAATTGGCAGGTGACGATGGAAACTAATCTTTCACTTCTTTCCATGGAGTAGGGATGGGAATATAGCCACGAAGGCAGAGCTTCTGAGAAAAGTCCTTGCATGGTTCTGTGGGGTTTTTGTGTTTGGGGGAGAAGGAGATTTGCCCTATCATTGTGTATTATGAAGCCCCACTATTGCTAAAAAGGAAGTGTGGAACTCACTACAGTCATGTTCGATATGAGATCAGTATCTGTCCTCTCCCTCATGCTGGCTTTTATTTCTTCCTCCCTAGAATGAGTCTGTGCTGGAGAATCACCACTGGCGATCTACAATTGGCATGCTCCGAGAATCAAGGCTCCTTGCACATTTGCCAAAGGAAATGACGTAAGTGCCATTGAGATGAAACATACTGATGCAGACACATCAGAAATCAGCCACTCTCTCACTCCAGGGATGGCTAAAGATCCCACGAGATCCTGGCAGACTTCAAGTCAGTTGATCAGTCTTGCCTGAACTTCAATGGCAGTCTGAGGGAGGTACCGAGGTATCAGATACACCAACCCAGAAACCAGGAAGTTTCTCTGAATAGCTACGAAAGACCCATGACCTGTAGGCAGAAAAAGCTTAGAATAATATGTAGCTCTCTACTTTAGCACCCTTCAGAACCACCCAAAATCCTGTGCTTTATGTTAGCAAAATGATTCTCCCTATACGTCTTAAATAATAATATAGAGGAATTCTCAAGCTCCAGGGAATAATGGGTTTTAAGATTAAAGACCAATAAATGGCTATAACCTTGAAATTTTAAGGAAGTGTAGATGAGACTATGGACAGCTGGGTGGTGCAGTGGATAGAGTGCTGGACTTGAAGTTAGGAAGACTCCTCTTCATACGTTCAAATCTGACTTCAGATACTTCCTAGCTGTGTGACCTTGGGCAAATCATTTAACCCTGCTTTCCTCATCTGTCAAATGAGCTGGACAAGGAAATAGCAAACCACTCCAGTATCTTTGCCAATAAAAACCTCACGGAACATTACAGTGCACAGAGTCATGAAGAGTCAGGTACAGCTGAACAACAACATGTGACAGGCACTGTACTAAGTTCTGGGGATACAGAGAAAAGCAAAAGACAGTACCTGTCCTCAAGGAGCTTACATTCTCATGGAAGAGACAACACATAAAAAGAAGATGAAAAGTCAGGAGAGATAGAGAGGAAGAGTTTCCCAGTGTATGGTTTTTAATTCAATTGGTGAGTTTACAGAGAGAATGAGACCGCAGACACAGCTTCTTCCAAAGACATCCTTACCTCTAACCCTCCAGCTTAAAGTAGGTGCTAGGAGACTGGTGAAGAGCATGTGACTGACTAGATAACAATCTGTACATATAATTCAAAGAACATACCTTACTGATGAAATGATTATTATCTTAGGACAGTATGTTTTATTTTCTAGTTCCTTCGAGTCATCTAACACATACTGCTTTTTAAATGACACAGAATAGAAGGCTGAGTTTTGGAGGCAGAGTAAGGAAGACCTGAGTTTAAATGCTGCATCACACGTATTAATTGACCCAGGTCAAACTACTTGACCCCCCCCAGCTCCTCAGTTTCCTCATCTGTGAGTTGAGGTAGTTGGACTAAATGACCTCTGGTCCTTTGATCTCACAGCTTGGGGAGTGTGGAGCTTCTTAAACCATTAGTTTGGATTAACTTTCTCATTCCCTTGACCCAGTAACACCAGTGCCAAGAGCTGGATGAAAGCTTATGCCTTCTACTTTATCAATCCATTCCAAAAACTGAAAGAAAGGCAAACAATAGAAGGGAACCAACCCTCTAAAGAAAGGAAGGGGGCAGAGGGTAGGCAGAGAGAAAAAGAGGAGAATAAATCCAAGGACTGACTAGCTTTGTCCCTGTAATACACACAGTTGTCCTATACCAGGGGTGGGGAATCTGTGAAGTTTGGATTCAGTCAAAGAGCCGCACTTGAGGACCTAGAAGGCCACATGTGGCCTCGAGGCTGCAGGTCCTCTGTCTCATTATACTCATGTCTTTTTCTTCAGAGGATATAAATTTCCTAATAAGCAGAATCACCATGGCTTCAAAACAAAAACATGCTTATGGGACTTTTTTTGGCTGAAATGCCTTGAAAGACATCTGGTAGGATAATATATATAATTGAATGAGATCATGTATGTGGAAGCACATGATAAACTGTAAAGTGCTTGACAGATGTAAGCAATTATTATTACTATCATTGCCGTTGCTTGCTTTTGCTTCTGCTGCAAATCAAGAGTTGAGAAATGCTCCTCTGGATTCTCACTACCTGCCCTGACCCAAACCCCTAAGACTCTTTAAGCTTTCTGTGCTCTCCTTCTGGCATGTAATTGGATTTGGTTTTTAGATCTGGGCTTCCTCCACACACACACATGTAGATGTTATGAGGCCTAAATTATCCCAATCCCATTTGCCAGGGTTATATAGCTGCTGCTACTTGGTTACCTTACCAAATCAAGGACACTCCTGACAAGAGACTGGGAGACAGCTAGGTGGGACAATGGATAGACCACAAGATCCGGACTCCAGAAAACCCCACCATTCAAATCCCACCATAGACACATACTAGCTGTGCAACCCTGGGCAAGTCTGCCTCAGTTTCCTTATCAATAAAATTGGCACAATAATAGCACCCATCTCCCAGTGCTGCTGTGAGGATAAAACAAGATAATACATGTTAAATGCTTTGCAAACTTTAAAACACTATATTGTTGCTGTTGTTAAGGTATTCAGTCATGTCTGACTCTTCATGACCATAGCACACCAATGCTGTCCATGAGGTCATGAGGTTTTCTTGGCAAAGATAATGGTGTGATTTGCCATTTTCTTCTCCAGAAATACATTTTAAATACACACACACACACACACACACACACACACACACACACACACACATATAATGTATGTGTATGTATATATATGTGTATATGTGTGTGTCTAGCTATTATTATTACTAATAATAATGGAATAGTAAGGAAAAAAGGCATTCCTCTGCTAGCTATAATATATAGAATGAGCTATCAGGGATGTGGTTTAGGACTGCTGGGTGATGATTCAATCCCACGTTCAAAAAGATTTGGTCCTGTGTTTGTCTTTTATCTTCTCTCCGGTGAGTGCAGACAGGATATTGAACAACAGCTGGGTTCCCTCATCAAAGCCACAGACATCAACCGGCAGAATGAATTCCTGATCCGCTTGAGAGATCAGCTCAACAATCAGAATTTGAGGTTGGAAGATGCTCAGGACCGACATTTTATGCTTCAGGTAAAAAAAAAATGTAAAATGTTTTCCACATTTGCTTGATAAAAAAAAAAAACAAAAAAACAACCAAAAACTCTTAGGGACAGGAGACAGGGACCACACATTGAACTGATTAGAGACAGAGTATGTTAAACCTTATGGTCTAGAATTGTGACCTAGAGACCCTTGGGGGAAATATGTTTTTAAATGTCCCCATGAAGAATCTCTGTTTTATGTCTGCAAGTTGGCAGGGTCTCACTTGCCTTGTTTGGAAACTGCTTCACTTGATGTTTGCTAATGAGCCAATGACACCGCATAAAATGCCCCCAATGTGCAGCCACCAGCGTGGCATGCATCATACTTCACATGTGTTGAGAGTAGGGTATCACCGTGGCACCTTGGCAATTTGAAAAGGCTGCTATCAACACAAAACAATTCCATGCAGTACAAAAGGGAGAATAGCCTTCCTTTGCTTTAAGCCTTTTTGATCAATCCCTGTTTCAAACTTAGGACGAATTTTTATGTTTCCCTTAAACATGGTATGTTTCCCTGAAAAGAGCACTGGCCTGGGAATCAGGAGATTGGGGTGGCCCTGGTGCCAACTCAGCTACTAGCTTGTGTGAGCTTGAAAGTCACTTTGGTTATCTGGGTCCCAATTTCATCTGTAAAAGAAGGGAAGTTGATGGTTATTATAGATGCTTGGTTCTTTGAAAATCCTATGGTGTTTTCAAGAATCATCCAAGAATGATTAAAAGATGTTCAATTTCAGGAGACAGTATGATTTATAGAAAGAGTACTGGTTTTATAGCAGGAGACCTGAGTGTGAATCCCACCTTTGACGTGAAATAGCCATTGTGTTCTTTACAAATCACTTCTCCCCTCTGAGTTTCCCAGGGTTGCCATGATGTTCAAATACAAATGATGTATTTCTATAAAACACTTTGTAAAGGAAAAGGCGCTAAAGAAGTGTGAGCTATAATTGTACTTACTGGAAAAAGCCAAAAGAAAAGAGCATGTTTTTACTGTTTTCCAAGTCACAGAATACTAATAACAGCAGATTTACTCTACTATTGTTTTAGTCCAGTTACATTATGGGAGAGAGCATGAGGTGGGAAGTTCACAGTTCACATAAGTATCTGCATTCTCCTGATTCTCCCACAAAACAGACTAATCACTGGAAATGAGGTAGGCATTTAAGGAATAGAAAGGTAAAACTTTGAAAATCTGAGACTGAAAGCAGTAAGACGCTCACTTTAAATCTGGGACATGCAAACTTTTTAACCAGTTTTCTAAGTCTCATCAAACTTTTTCAAACAATTTTCAAAGTGTTTGTCTAGACAGTTATGGTAAAAACCAATTTCAATGAAAAATATTGACATTTTTTAAAAAGTTGTTTGAATCAGAGTTTGGGTTTTATTAAACATTATTAATGAAGGGGCTTTTCCCCCCACCTCAGACCATGGGCAGGTATTATTTTACTTTTTCCTGTGGCTTATTGTACAGTAATGAAAAGCCTTTTAATCGGCTGCTGAGCTGGAACTGAATATGCATACCAAAGTCTCCCAAAGAGAAACTCAGCCTCTTTTACCTGAGTAGACAAGAACTGCTGGGGGGTGGGGGGGGACCTAGGAAGGGAAACCTCAGACCCTCTCTCTTACTTGGTCCTGCTATTTTGGGCGCTGTCATGTTTATTCTTCCTTGATCTTAGGTGACAGTATCAGAGACAGAACAGACCAACCAGGTCATGACCTCATGAGCTTCTGAAGGTCAGAAGATCCAGTCTACTGGTAGCTACAGGGACGAAGAGTGAATGAATACCCATGTGTAGTGCATGCAGGTTCTAAGCTCTTTTCCAACCCACACTTGGAGTAGTAGATCAGATCCCCAGGACTCAAATAGTTTTCATCTTCCCCTCAGGGTCCTGGGGAATGATTCTAATGCTGTCACTCATGAGCATCTGTCCTACATGTTCCTCCCAATATCATTCACTCAGTTCCCATCTCCTCATTCTCCTCAATATCTCTCACCCATAATTATAACTCTAATATTAGTTATATCACTTCAACATAAATCATTTATAAAGGGATGTTTACGAAGAAGATACAGGAACAACAAAATTACAGACACAACCTCCTACATCTCCCTGGTTGATTCCCTGCTGAGCTGGGTCAAGGAGGTCATTCCATAGGGCTGAATGGGTTTAGATGCTGCAGGTGGCAGCAGCTTCTGCTACTGCATAGTTTTGAATATCTGATGGCTCTCAGGCCTTTTTCCTCCACTGAAGCCTTTTTTACACACTCATTTCTAGCCCTTTGTTGCATTCAGTCGTTTTCAGTCATGTCTGACTCTTTGAGACCCCATTTAGGGTTTTCTTGGCAAAAATACTGGGTGGTTTGCCATTTCTTTCTCTAGCTCATTTGACAGATCAGGAAACTGAGGCAAACAGGATTAAGTGACTTGCTCAGGGTCACATAACTAGTAAGTGTCTGAGCCATATTTGAGCTCTGAAAGATGAGTCTTCCAGGCCTGTACTTTATCCACTGCAGTACCTAGCTGCCCAATTTCTGGCCTAGCAACCAATTAAAAAGCATTTCATCCACATGCAATAAGCCCACAGGAAAAGAGTCAAAGAATACCTGACTATGCTCTGAAGTTGGGGAGGGCCCTTCCATTGCATATGGATTGGTAGACAGCAGAGGACACAGAGCATTAACATGCCTATTTTCTTCTTCAGCCTAGAAGCATCATTGATGATATAGAAGAACTAAATCAACAACTCAAAATGTTCCTTGATATCTATGATAGTTTTGCCAAACAGATTAACAGAAATCATGCCCAGCTCTTTATTTTCTAGCACATCAGTAATTACAAATATGGTTGTGTTCATGCCAAATAGATTAAAAAATAAGGTCAAGCAATAGTAGAAAGAGCCCTGGATCTAGAATGGGAGGACCTGAGTTTGAATCCCTGCTCTCTCATTAACTCCCTATGTGTCCTGGAACAGTCCATCAGTCAGTCAACAAATACATTAAGCATTTAATATGTTCCAGACATTATGCTAAGTGCTGGGCAAGTTACTCTGAGCCGAAGTTTCTTTATCCTTAAAATGAGAGAGTTGGACTAGTTGACCTGTAAGGGCCTTTCCAGCTCTAAATCTATTATTTCTTTTTTTCTTTATCATTTTCTTTTTTTTCCTCATTCAAGTGCTTGGGTTGGGGGAGGGGTAGGATTGGCTGAAAATGATTGACTGGAGGAGACACTGGACTGAACTTGAAAAACTGAACTGGACTGAGGCTTGAAATCTCCCAAACTAATATTTTAACTAATGCATCAGCAACCTGGAGAGAATGCATGGTCTGGTGGATAGAGCCTTAGAGCAAGGAAGGACTGGGTTTAGGCATCATCTCTGAAAGATACTGGTTTGTGACCCTGGGAAAGTCACTTACCCTCCCAGTATTCTAGGTAGCTAGCTCTCTAAGGCCAGATTGTTGTTTGTTGCTGTTCATCCTTCATTCTTGAAGAGGACCAATGATGTCAGGAGGCTGATACCTTGACTTGCAAGTGAATTAGATTTAAGTGAGGGAGAGCTGTGCAAAGTCATCAGCCTCACTCTCTCCTCCAGAGTCATCAGTCCAGTGGCAAGATATAGGTCAAGATGACTGGTGACGGCCCCACGTGCAGTGGGTGACCTTGGCCTTTTTCAGCTAAGGTCTTTCCCAGGTCTCAATTTAGTTGCAGAACAGGCATCCACTTGCATTGTTAGAATTCCCTCACCCAAGTGCACATATAAATTATATCATGGGTACCATCCCTATCAGCAAATTGAGGTATTCTTGCCAAAAGTAGGGCCAGTGCACACTGACTGCTACTAGAGCTTCAAAGCCAATCCCAAGCACACTGTCTTTCAGAAACTCTTCTACCCTTTGCTCTTGCCTCCTCTTGCTCTGCCCCATCTTCCACGTACCCATTGTACACATGATGCCCCTACCTGGCCAGTCTTCCATCTTATCCAAGTCTGACTTCTAGAAAAGTATCCAACTCCAAAATCACCTCTCCTTCCTCCTGTACAATCAAGACTGGCCTGGAATGTCCAAAGGTGTCAGCCAAGTGTTGACCTCTTTGGTCTCCTGGTGGGGCCAATGTAACGTAGGAGAAAGAGAAAAAAGAGTGAATTTGAGGTCAGAGGACCTAGGTTCAACTTATACTAACCCTTTGACCTTGGCCAAGTCAATTCATCACTCGACTTCAATTCCCTCACCTGAAACTTGAGTACTAAGGTCTCTTTCAACTCTAAATCTGTAGTCCTATGATTCCCTAGTCACTAATAACCTTCCCACCTTGGACTTCACATAGAACTTTGTTTTGTAATTCTCTAAAGCATTTAGTAATACTGTATATTATGGTTCTCTGTGTTTTGTTTCTTATTCTCCTGCTATGCTGTCCATTCTGTGAGGACAGAAAGCAGAATTGTGTCTTCCCCAGTTAGTCAAGCATTTATTAGGAGGCAGCTAGGTGGCACAGTGGATAGGGCACCAGCCCTGAAGTCAAGAAGACCTGAGTTCAAATCCGGCCTCAGACCAAACACTTGACAGGTACTAGTTATGTGACCTTGGGCAAGATTGCCTCACCAAAAAACAAACAAAAAAAAAAACCAAGCATTTATTAAATGCTTACTGTGTGCCAGACACTGTATCTAGCATGGTGGTGTTTATACAGTTGGTAATGATTAAAATATTTATTGAATGAAATTCACACCAAAGTATAATGTATGAATAGGTTTAGTCTTCCCAATGGTAATAATAGCTTTAAGGTTTGCAAAGTGCTTTACCTATTTGATCTCTTTTGATCCTTACAAGAAGTCTATGAGGTAAGTGCTATTATTATCCTTATTTTACAAATGAGGAAACTGAGGCTGAGAGAAGGTAGCTGACTTGCTGCTACTCAGCTAGCATCTGGGGCAATATTTGAACTTGTCTTCCTTACTCCAAGTTCACTCTATTTACTGCTCCACCTAGTGCCTGCCAGGGTATTTGCATATTAAAAGAGGATCCTGCTAACTCAAATGAATCCCTAATTGGTAGGATATATGGAGAAGTATTTCTGAATGGGGCAGAAGAAAGAGGGTATCAAGTACTGCTCCTTGCCAATGATGGAAGTCTTTCCATCATCTTCTTGACTCGGGACAAATACATGCAAACAGAATTATTAACTCCACAACATACATACCTCTCCCCCACCCTTCTTTGTTTTTTTCATTTATTTCCTTCCAACACCTCCAAAATGAGAAAAAAAGAAAAACCTTGTAACAAATATAGTCAAGCAAAACAAATTTCCAATTTTTGCAATGTCTAAAAAGATATGTCTCATTTTGCACCTCAAGTCAGGAGTTGTAGGTAGCATGCTTCATCATGGGTCCCCCAGAATAGAAGTTAATCATTGCATTGATAGAGTTCTTGAGTTTTACAAAGTGGTCTGTCTTTATGATGTTGTTCTTATTGTATAAATTGTTCTTCTGATTCTGTTCATTTTGTAACAGTTCATAGAAATTTACTGTTTCCTCTATTCATTTCACCATTTTTAAGGAGCAATAATATTTCATTATATTTATATGCTATAATTTATTTAGCAATTCTCCAAATAACCCCTTGGTTTCCAGTTCTTTGCCACCACAAAAAGATCATAAATATTTTTGTACTTATGTCACCGCAGTGATTAGTATTCTTAAGTTTCAAGGTACGTTCTAACTCCCCCAATCTCCGTAAAAATTAGAGACATTCCATCTTGCATATTGGAAACCCACTTATACTGAAGTAACTCCTATATTTTACTGGAACATTTGTGGGCAAAACCATTGTCCTGGGAACTCAAAATTCCTCTTTGGTTTAGAGAACTCCTGAAAACAGTTGACATTTTGGCAAACCTGAGGTGAGCCAGCTTTTGCTATTGACCAAATCTTAGCTCAACCACCAGCCTGGCACTAACTAAGCAGACCCTATTTCAGCCCTGAAAATGAAAACCTAGCTTGGGTCTTTAGGGCCGACTTATACACACACACACACACACACACACACACACACACACACACAGAAGCAGGCAGCACAAATCCAAACAAACATAGTTAAAGTGATATGTAAGGTCAATCAATGTGACCACTAGGGAAGTGAGGACCAAACGTTCTCACACTGGCTTGGCTGCCGGCTCACTGCATCCTCAGTGTTGGCTGGTAGCCTCCAGGTGCTAGCCCAGTCTAGAGACAGACGGCAGCAGCTTCCTCCCAAACCTTCTCCATCCGGGCAGCTCCAGCTTCTTGAAATTATAATCTTCTCTTATTCTCTGCTACAAATGAGAGTTCCGAAGGAATGTTTTGTGGCAAGTGGTGAACAAGGACCATTTCCTTAAAGAGGCCTGTCAGGAGGAGTTAACTTTTTAAAATGGTGCTGCCATCTGATGAGGCAGCAGGAATGCCCAAAGCCTGGACTTTGACTCATGATCCAGGTACTTCTGACAGATTGCCGGCTAACCATCTCTGCGTCTGCTCCCTCCCTCCCCACTATTCTTTTTTCAGATTGCTCTGAAGTGTGCTGACATTTGCAATCCTTGTAGGATGTGGGAGCTGAGCAAACAATGGAGTGAAAGGGTCTGTGAGGAATTCTACAGGCAAGGTGAGTGGTCCGGTAACTGAGTTTTTCTCCTTTCACCTTACCAGGTCAAGGGTTTCAAACTGAAAGTGGGTCATCTCACATGGATATCAGTTTCTGCAATAAGGTCTGGTTACCTTAATATCCTCCCTTTGAAATCTCTACCAACTATTCTGATAAAGAAAAAAGATGAAATAAAGAAGGAAGCAGAATACAAAAAATAAATACATAAATAAATGAAAGAGTGGAGGAAAAAGGAAGGAATGAAGAGAAAGAAAGAAACAAAGAAAGAAGGAAGAAAAGAAAGAAAGAAAAGAAAGGAAGGAAGGAAGAAAGAAGGGAAGGAGGGAGGGGAAAGAAGAAAAGAAAAAGTACAGAAAGGGAAAGAAGAAAAACAAGTGAGGAGGAAAGGAAGGAAGAAAGAGAAGGAAGAGAAAGGAAGAGAAAGAAAGAAAAGAGGGAGAGGAAAGAAGAGGGAGAAGGAAAAGAAAGAGAGAGAAGGGAGGAGGGAGGGAGGGAGGGAAGAAAGGAAGGAATTCTATTTTTTAAAAAAAGTAGTGGGAGTGAACAGGAGGAATGGTGGAGGGGGCAATAGGATGGATTGGAAAGCAAGGAAAGTGTTTTATTGGCTCCTTCGATGGTGCACTAGGAGCAAGTGTCAGGCACAGTTCTGCTTATACTACTCTGACCTTCATTTTAATGAGCTGTGCTAAACCTAAAAAGACGTTTAAATGCTTAATTTGGAGTCAGGGGTGGGAAGGAGTCCGGGAGAGGAGATAGAGAGAGGACAATGTTATGTTCACTAAATGGAGAGCCACGGGACAGGAGGAATATGGCAAAAGCAGCCAAACATCTCTCTCCTTCTTCTTTTAAGGAATGAAAGATGCCTGCCAAAAAGAATTTGGGTTAATCAAGTCAAATATGTTTTCAACCATGAGGTAGAAAAGCTCTGACTTATCCAAAAATCAAATGTTCGAACCCACCTATTAGGGAAGAAGCTTAGAAGAATTAACCTAATAAGGAGACCTAAGAATAGCTGCAAAGAGCACACTGGCCAGAAAGTCCAGAAACCTGAGTTCAGGGCCCAGTTCTGCCATTATTAACTAGCTATGTGAATTTAGACAAGTCATTAAATTTTCTCTGTTTCCTCATCTATAAAATGAGGGGATTAGACTAGTTTCTTTTGTCATCATTGCTGCTTAAAGAGGTATAGCTAGAAAGTACCTTAGAATCCATTTAGTCCAACATTGTTATTCCTCATCCATAGAAGGGAAAACTTGGACCTATGGAGGTCGGATGACTTTTCCAAGGTCATACAGGTAGTAATTGTCAGAGGCTGGCTTTGAACCCAGGTTCTCTAACTCCAAACCAGCACTAGCTCTCTGGGAGAACAATAAAGAAGGAACCTTGAAATGAGATGTGATGGATTCCTTTAAATTTATATAAAAAGTTACAGAGTTTGCTTCAGCAGCCAACTATTCTTAGGTCTCCTTATTAGGTTAATTCTTTTAAGCTTCTTCCCCAAAGGTAGGGTCATTTGATTTTTGGATAAGTCACAGCTTTTCTACCTCATTGTTGAAACCATATTTGAGCTGATTAACTTGTCACAGCCCTTCTCTGTTAATGGTGACAATGTCAGGTTTTATGTGAGTGGGACCCACTCAGGTCCCAATCCAGGAATGAGCTTGAAAGGATTACTACCATAATAACACCGCATTCTGGTATTGTTGGGACATCAAATAACAGCAGTAATTCTTTTGGAGAAGAGTTCCTTGAAAGTTGTCTGAATAATGTCTTCAGTCTTTTAAAGACACATTTATTCAGTTCACTTAGGACCAGCAGACCCTCTTTTGCCATCATTCTCCTTCAGAACCAATAAGTAATTGTATAGTTCTTACAGCACAAAGTGGAACAGATTTCCCTTGGATTGAGTGGGTTGATAAAAACGCAAAATCAGTTCCAGTTGCATGATAATTTATAATCTCTCCACGCTGAGAGCAGAACAAGAGCAAATATGCTGGAGCCGCAGCAAGAATTTAGGTTACTTCTTTAATACTTTAATAGTCTTGTTGACGTTAGTGCAGCAGCTGGTGAGTGAGGGACGCGGAAGTAAGTAGCTGACCCTGGCAAGTAGTCTGTGCTTTGCTTTTCACATTATGACCACTGCTCCTCATGTGTGGTCCTCTCCGACTTTGACATGCCAGATAAGGGCACCTAGGAAGAACTATGCATAGATACTTCATGGTTGTGTTTATTTTCAAGAATATTAATAAAGAGTGTATTATACATTTCAGCACTTTCATTTCCTCCTGTATGTGGTCTGGCCCCCTCCTACCTTTCCAATTTTCTTACACCTTAATCACCCCCAAGTACTTTATGATCCGGTGACACTGACCTCCTCACTATTCTTTGAATAAGACACTCCATCTCACCACTTGAGGCATTTTCACTGGCTGTCCCCCATGCGTGGACTGCTCTCTCTTCTCATTTCTGCCTACCAGTTTCAAGTCACAACTCCAAGTCAAATACAACAAGCTGTTCCTGATCCCTCTTAAATGCTAGTGCTTTTCCCTATGAGATTCTCTCCAGTGTTTACTGTACACATCTGGTTCATCTATCATTGTTTGTATGTTGTCTCTCCCTCAACCTCCATGAGAATGTGAGCTCCTTGAGGTTAGGGACTGTCTTTTGCCTTTCTTTTTTATCCCTAGCACTTTACACAGTGCCTGACACCTAGAAGGCACTTAATAAATGCATATTGACCAACTAACTTAGTGCCATCCTTCAGAATCAAATATGTTGAAGAGGTTTCTGAGATATTTTGGCTTCTTAATTATAGCAATTTTTTTTGACATCAGTTAAAAACATCTAAGAAATGGCAATAACTAGTATCTATATTTTTATTTTTATCCATTTCCCATTTTTGAGAATCAATAGTTTGTTTAAATAGGTTGCACTGGACCTGCTATAATTGTACATGATGCTTTTTCATCTTTATCCTGTCTTCTAATTTTACCTTTGCTCTCATCAGTCAATGATCTGAATGCACACAGACAGCTGACTTCAAAATGACTGCCATGTCAATAATCCATCATTTCTTATCTATTAAAATATGCTCAATTTCATTTTTTTGTGATTTACCATGGTCAATACCTTCCAACCCTTTTTTTTAATCATAATAGAGAAGAATGAGACTTCTGGAAAAATCTACAAGCCTTTGACCCTTTCATTTCTTAATCCACAACTATATTTTGTGCATATTTTCCCACATTCTCCTATTCGTCCATCTTCATACAGAAGTGACTGATTATCAGTATATACACTGATTTGGTTCAGAGAACCTTGTCAAGCTCATTTGAAATTTTCTCTGTAAGTTACAGCAATTATTCTGGAATGAGAGATCTTGTATTCAAATGCTGCTCCTAATGCAGCCTACCTTTGAAACCTTGGGCAATTTATTTAATTTCTCTGGGCATCTGTTTCCTTATCTGTAAAACAAAGGATCTGTACTATACGGCCTTTGAGGTCCCTTTCAGACTCTGAATCTATGATCCCATGAACTCTTCCTGGTGGGTCCCCTTCTTTATATTTTCATCATGAGTAATGCAAGGCAATATGTCCAAGGTCCCAGAAAATGATGTTTCTTTTCTTCAGGTTCATAATAAAACCAATATTGCCAACTTCTATATTCTCTCTAAAGACAACCTATGAGTCACTCTTGGATGTAGCCGAAACTTCCTTTAGGGAACACTCAAAGAAAAATGTTTTGAATGTAAAACATCTTACGGAGAGAAGTTGTAGAATACCTTTCCCTGTGGATTTAGTAATAGGATAAAGAAAAGGGAATTCATTTTAGTATTTAATCACAAACATTGTTATTTTACAATATTGTGTGTATCCATGGAACCTCCCCATCCCAACAAGAAGTTCACTGTGGCTAACAGCAAAATCTTCATTAAAATTGCTATTGCAAGCTTAGAATGCATTAATAGAAATTCAATGACCAGAACCAGAGAGGTAATGGCCGCCATTATGCTCTGCCTTGGTCAGACCATACCCAGAGTTCTCTGTTCAGTTCTGATTTCCATGTTTTAAGAGCGACATAAACCAACGGTGTTGAAGTAGGAATTATAGGAACCTGGGAAGGAAATGACTGTTCTCAGTTTAGAATACATGACATAAAGGAGAGGAAAGTCAGACGTCATCTGATACACACCCTAGATTTTGGGAGAGCATTTGCCAAAGAGTTCAAAGATGGGAAGAGTTGCATGGCCTCAAAATTCTACAGGATAAGGTATCCATGGAGAGATGTGAACTTGTCAAGAATAAAGTCCTAAAGATAGATAAAAATATTTCCTAAGAAGAAGAAAATGGAGAGCTATTTAAAAAAACTGGTGTGGATAGGCAGGAAATTTATCACCTGATAGACTTTGAAAAGACAAACGAAAGATAAAAGTAAAGACAGCTAATGAAGGATGAATACGAAAGCATAGTATAGTCAGATAAGAATAATGTCAGTAGTGCTAATGTTCAAGATGAACTAGGGCTGGGAAGGTGTACCAAGGCAACAAAAAAAGATAGGGTTTTTTTGCTTATTTTGCTAAAAGGATAGAGAAGGGAATCAAAGAGGTAATCTGCGTGCTACTTGGGGTGGATGTAATGATGATCATGGACAAAGAAAGAAGGGAGAACTATTGAAGTCTAATTTTTCTTCAGTTTTCTCCACTAAAGAGAATGATCTTTGGACTAGACAGGATAAAATAAAAATAGGGAACCAAAGTATAAATAAAGGTAACAGTAAGAAAGCAACTAGTTGCCATCAATTATTTCAAGTCTCAGGCCTAGATATTGAGAAAACAGGAAGATGTGATTTGTGCAAAGCTACTGTTATTAGTCTTTGAAAGTTTGTAGAAAACAAGAGAAAGAGTATAGGCCTAAAGAAGAGCAAATGTTTTCCCAATACTCAAAAAAGGGAAGGGGTGAAGTCTTCAAACTATAGATCCATAAACTTTCCTGGGAAAACTCTAGAATGTTATTAAAAGGATGGTTTGTGAACATAAAAGAAAAGAAATTTGTGATCATAAGGAACCAGCAAATCCTCATTAAGAACAGGCCCTGCCAAACTAATCTCCCTTCCTTCTTTAAAAAGATGTACTTGAAATAATCCAAGCAGCCTCTTCATCACAAAGACCACCTAGGGAAGCTCAAAAACCCCAGACAGGGAAGTTGAGTCATGCTGTCAGAGTATGACCAGTAGTGACAGCCCAAAGACTTTTTCCAGCCAGCAGATAGTTTGGCCTCCAATTCCCCTGAAGTCTTCCCTTCCCCTACTAACATGAATCAGCACCCATTCCCAGGTCCAAGCTCCTAGTTCCCTTCCCCCAATGCCTAGTCCTGGAGATCCAGATAAGAACCTTGTATAAACCCACCAGACTTTACTGGTTTTGGGGGAGAGGGTGCCTCACTCCTTCTAGGGGCCCAATAGGGGGTACCCAATCCCATCCTGGACCCCAGTGGACCAGACCTGTTTCCACCATCTTCCTGGACTGCTCTTCATATTGTTAACTCCCCTCAATAAAGCTGACTTGTTTTACTGTCCTGTTTTGAGTTCCATATTTCCCTGTAGTGGGCTTTTGGTATTCCAAACTGTCCTAAATCTATGTTGTGAAATGCTGGACTGGTAGATAAGGGGAATGATTCTCTAAATCATAACAACCTTCTATATGAATTATTGATAAAAATGTTAGAAAAACACACAGTACTTCAAGTTTAAAGACCTCTCTCTAAAGAGACATTAGGTGATTAAGGACTGATCTTTGGGTCCAGTTATTCAATCAGTTCTACATCTATCCCCCTAAATATGTTATCATCCAGCCTGTTACAATATATTCCCCAAGAAGAACATGAGACCTTTGCTAAAACGTGTACTTATCAATAACTCATATAGAAGGCACTGATGGAATGATCATCAAATTTGCAAATGTCAAAAAACTTGAAGAGATAATATGTCAGATGATAGAGTCAAGGTCCAAAAATATCTTTTCAGGCTAAGTTCTCTGTCACTGGAAATATCCAAGCAAAACATGGATGGTCCCTCTGAGGCCACTTTCAACCCTAGGAGTCGATGATAAATTACATGTATTCACTGTAGTGAGGGTTGTTATGATTTAGAGTAGTTGAGGAAAGTTTCATGGGGAAAATAGAACTAAAGCTCAACTTTGAGTGATGGATAAATAATTTTAGAAGAACAGAGAAAACATGACATGAAGGTAGTAATGAACAAGATATGTTCAGGAGACAGAAGGTAAAACAGTACGACTAAAGTTTTCATGTAGGGTAGTAAAAAAAGATAAGATTAGAAAGTTAAATGTAACCCAGATTTTGGGGGCCCTTGAAAGCCAAGCCAAGGAATGAGAAATTAACCTTATAGGTAACTGTGAGCCATTGAAGGACTTTGAGTAGAAAGGTGACTTGTTTTGGAAAGATTAATTTGGATAGAATGGATGCAAAGCAATGTGTATAGTAGAAAGTAATTGACTTGGATTCAGGAAAGACTGGGTTGAAATTATGCCTCATTTACTAGCTGTATGACCCTGGGTCACCCACTTCTTAATCTTTGAACTTCAGTTTCCTTCTCTGTAAAACAGAGTTGTCACAGCATTGTGATGAGGGAAGAACCTTAAAGTGTTACAGAAATATAAGTGCTATACAGTTATTTGAGTGGAAAAGATTGGAAGAAATAGGGCTAAGTTAGAAGGTTCTTGTAATAAGCCAGGTGGGAAGTGATGAGATTTCATCCCAGCGTGGTGGCAGATATCATGACAAGAGCCAGATAAATTTAAGAGATATTGTGAAGGGGGGAAGAAAAAAAAAACAGGCAGGAGGTAGTGGCAGATTATGCATAGAGGACACAAAGGAAAGGGATAAGTAAATATAAGTCCAAAGCTGCAAACACAAGTGACTCAGATGATGATACAATCAACAAAAATAGCGAAGTGAGGAAAGAAAACCAATTTAAGAAGACTTTCTCTTTAATGGGAGAATTGCATGCCTTCTGGAAATCTAGGGGTAAAAGATTTGGGGGATAGCTAGAGATGAACAATGTGGACTGGATTGGTAAGGGCTAGAAAATTCCTAATGTTGCTTCAGCTTAAGTCCTTCACGTTTGAAGAGGTCACCTAGGTGAGTGTGGAATTCAAGGCCCTCCTGCCATCCTTAAAGGTACCTTATAACAGCTGGCTACAATCAATACTCCTCTGTTACTGACTACATTTTGAATGGCTAGTCTAATCAAGCCACCTCAAAAAATACCTTCAATCTCCCCATGTAGGAGGAGGATAGAAAGGGAACGTGTAGGTACTGTTCACTGTAAGGTCAGCTTCTCATGAGGGTTCTTTTTCTTCTACCATCTAGCTAACAAAAGGCATTTACCATCCCTATAAAGAGTTGGACCTTTTGTCTTTTATTTTATTATATAAAACAGAATCCATAAATGGTCATCCATTTAAAGAGGCTAACAGGCACATAAAGGTAGATTTTGTTAAAATGAGTTATGGGATATCTGCAAAGGAAAGGGTTTTTGGTTTTTTTTGTTGTTGTTGCTTTTTTTAAAGATCAGGCCTCCCCAGTCCCAGTTTATTGTCCATTCCTGGCTACACTTGGAAAAAAGAAAACCATTATGTGCAAATCCATCTTCTTAACTAGTAACTCAAAGACTGACCTTTGACCTTCTTTCCTAACACATAAGCCTGCTTTAGGTTCTGTGATTGCTGATGTAAGACCAATTCTGATCCTGAGACTAGTTGGGCAGACCTTGTAGTAACCTGAATTGACTGTTGATTCCCTGACATTTTAAAATTTCACAGTAATTACTGGAGCAGGGCAGGGCAGAGCAAGTGAGCTTTTAAAAAAGGCTTTTTGATGATGATAACAAACCAAGCACCAATTTCTGGAATTTCTTTTCCCAACCAGGTGGTTAGGAATTATAAATTCATTTTCATGAATGCCAAACCACAAATATATCCTCTTCTCCTTTCTTCTTAGGTCACCTCGAGCAGAAATTCGAACTGGAAATAAGTCCTCTTTGTAATCAGCAGAAGGATTCAATCCCTAGTATACAAATTGGTAAGCTGACCTTGAATTTTCGTTTTAATTTAGTTTATCATGGACCCACTGCCAGGAGTCACACAACAAATAAACAAACCCCTACACAGGTCTGCAAGAATGAAAATGGAGTTTGATAAGATCACTTTGAATGGTTGAACCCAGAGTGAGAAGAAAGAATATAAACCGTTGGTTATTTAACTAAATAAGCATATATACAATACTTATTAAAATATGCACATTTAAAGGAAACATGAAAAACAGGGCAAAGGCTTTGTTGAAGAACATGAATTAAGCTGCATGAGCTCGGCAGTTCAGAATTGAATCAACAAAAATAGTAAGAAGCTCACAAAATTCAATCCTTTTTTAATACTTCTTTCAGCACACTTCCCTAATTAGTAGCATCTTAATCCTACAGAATTAATCCTGTTATTAAACTTGCAAAGTTTATGTAATGGCTAGGTGTAGAGGAGGAAGTCCTGCCATATTATCAATTGAAACTTCTATTATATGTTTTATGACATTTATAACCCTCAGTCAGTTTTATGTTCATCTCAATCCTTATCATGATTCTCAAGTTTAAAAAAAATTTTTTTTTGCTTTTATAATTTGATGTATAATTTGAGTTACCTTCAAAGTTTTGTAACTTTGAAATAAATACCTAATTTGATTTTACCATGAAGTTAATTTGAAGCTCTTTGAGGGCAGGAATTGTTTCATTTCTGCCTTTTTATCCCCAGCATTTAGTACAGTACCTGGCATATAATTTTGTAGCTCAGTCATTTTCAACTCTTTGTGACCCCATGGACCACAGCACACCAGGCCCTTCTATCCTGCACTATCTCTCAAAGTCTGTCCAAGTTCATGTTTATTGTTTCCATGACACTATCTATCTATCTCATCCTCTGCTGTCCCTTTTTCCTTTTGCCTTCAATCTTTCCCAGCATCAGGGTCTTTTCCAGTGAGTTCCATCTTCTCATTACGTAACCAAAGTATTTAAGCTTCTGCTTCAGAATTTGACCTTAAAGTGAATAGCCTGAATTAATCTATTTTAATTAAATAATTAAATCAATAAATTAATTTATTGACTGATTTGATCTCTTTGCTGTCCAAGGGACTTTCAAAAGTCTTCTCTAGTACCACAATTGGAAAGCATCAGTTCTACAGTGCCCAGCTTTTCCTGTAGTCCAACTCTCAAAGCCATATTTTGCTACTGGAAAAACCATAGCTTTGACTATATGGACCTTTGTCAGCAAGGTGATGACTCTGCTTTTTAGTATGTTGTCCAGATTTGCCATAGCTTTCCTTTCAAGGACCAGGCATCTTTTAATTTCATGGTTGTAGTCACTGTCTGCAGTGATCTTTGAGTCCAAGAACATAAAATCTAACACTACTTCCATTTCCTCTCCCTCTTATTTGTCAGGAAGCGATGGAACCAGTTGCCAAGATCTTAGGTTTTTTTTGATGTTAAGCTTCAAGTCAGCTTTTCACTTTGATCCTCATCAAGAGGCTTCTTAATTTGTCTTCACTTTCTGCCATCAAAGTGGCATCATCTGCACATCTGAGATTGTTGATATTTCTCCCAGCAACCTTAATTCTGGCTTTTGATTCATCCAGCCTGGAATTTCACATGATGTATTCTGAATATAAGTAAATAAATAAGATGACAGCACACAGCCTTGTCATACTCCTTTTCCAATCTTAAACCAATCAGTTGTTCCACGTTTGGAACTGTTGCTTCTTGGCCTACATACAGGTTCCTCAGGAGACAAGTAAGATGATGTGCTACTACCATCTCTTTGAGGACTTGCCACATTTTGTTGTAGTCCACACAGTCAAAGGCTTTACTGTAGTCAATGAAGCTGAAGTAGATGTTTTTCTGGAACTCCCTTGCTTTCTCCATAATCCAGCAAATGTTGGAAATTTTGGTCTCTAGTTCCTCTGCCTCTTCAAAAACCAGCCTGCTCTTCTAGTAATTCTTGGTTCACATATTGCTGAAGCCTAACTTGCAGAATCATAAGCATAACCTTGCTAGCATGTGAAATGAGCACAATTGTTAAGTAATTTGGCCATTCCTTGGCATTGCCCTTCTTTAGGACTGGGGTGTAAACTTATCTTTTCTAATCCAGTGGCCACTGTTGAGTTTTCCACATTTGCTGCTATGTTGAATGCAGCACTTTAAAATCATTATCTTTTAGGATTTTAAATAGCTCAGTTGAAATTCCATCATCTCCATTAGCCTTACTGTTAGCAGTGCTTCCTAGGGCCCTCTTGATTTCATTCTCCAGAATGTCTGGTTCTACATCAGTAACCACACTATCATGGTTATCAGTGATGTTAAAATCTTTCTTTTATAGTTCTTTTGTGTATTTGTGCCACCTCTTCTTAATCTCTTCTGCTTTTGTTAAGTGCCTACCATTTTTGTTTTTTTATCATGCCCATTTTTTTTTGCATGAAAGGCTCCCTTGGTATCATCCCAGGTACTTTAAAAAAAAGCTCATTGAATGAATGAATGAACAAATTCGGAACAGAGGTAGACAGTCTAGTAAAGATCACCACTTCTCTGAAATAATAACTTTTAAGAAATTTGACTAGCCATTGTAGAGAGAAATTTTTGAACCCTGGACAACATTTTGGGTGTGACAGGAGAAGAGAATTAACACCTTCGTGGTAATAAATAGGAGAGAAGACTCAGATATTGGGGAAAAAAATAGAGGTCACAGAAGAACATTTCTTCTTCCTCCAACTTTTTCCTTCCTCTTCACAACAGAAGAGGAATAGAATCAGATGGAAACAACAACCATAATAATAACAATCCACTTTTGCCTGGTGCTTGGATGTTTTAAAAAACACTTTCCTTACAAAAACACAAGGAAGTAGCTCATGCAGATATCATTTGTCAAGTAGTAACTATTTCCAAAGGCAAAACTCCCCTTCCGTTACCTCTCCCTGTACTGTCATCCACATCTAGCTCCCGCCCCTTTTTTCTCTTCCTTCTCTTTACATTGTGCCCTCTAGAACCTTCAGTCTCTCAGACAGTGATATTCTCTTCACACTAGAACATCCTCTTTTCAGATTTTTTTTCCATCTTCTGCTCATGGAAATCTGATTCTCTGGAAAATGTTGCGCCTCTGTCCACTTACCATCTCCAGTAATTTTGTGTTCTCTCATACTTTCCAACACACTAGGCCAGGGGTGGGAGAGTGGGGAAAGGGAAGTTGACACATACCTTGTCTCCATGCAACAAACTCTCTTCCTTTGAGGTTCACTCTATGGATCTATATTACCCAGGGCACATTCTTGTGGCAAGGATCGATGGGCCTTCGAGTTACTTTCCCTCCTTTCTCAAAAAGTTCATTACCTGGCTTACATCTCTACCTCTGTACTTTGAGAGTTTATGTTGGTATCCCCTCCCAATTAATCAACCTTCTGAAATCCAGTAACTTGTATCTTCACTCCACCTCAACTACCCATGGGGACAATAACATTTTAAATCTCACAATCATATACATATAACTGTGTAGCACCATGATCTTGGACTCTGACATCTCCCCTCTTTGACATTCACCTATTTTTCCATCTCACCATTAGCCTTACTCCTTCTAAACCTATTATTCATCCTCACCACAACCTCCATTCCTCCCTTCTGCCCTTGTCTATCCATCTTGCTCCACCTCATTTTTCTTCTTTCACAGTTTTGACCTTGTGATTAGCCAGTTCAGCACACTATCTTCTATTCTGGAATTTCTTGCGCCTTTGCTCTTCTGCCACCTATACCCTACTATTCCCAATCTTAGATCACCCCATCTCTACCTTCCACCTTCTCTGCTTCTACTTCTGACATTCCAAAATACACTGGGGGGAGTCACGTCACTGTTTTCTCCCTGGATCCACAACAAAATCATATTATCTAATCTTAACTTTGACATTGTAATCCTTTTATTCTTTCTTAATTGACTTTCATACTCTTCTCAGAAGTTATTCCATTCCTTTATATCCCCACATGTACACAATGCCACACTCATTCCTTTTTTTGTCAGCAAAAGTCTTGGCCTTTTAGTTTATTGAAAGAATTAAGGTCATTCATCTTCTCCTCCTTTTTGAGGACTGTTTACTCAGCCATCCTTTCTTCTTTCTCCCCATTCTCTTCCTTGGTAATATTGTCTTCTCCCTTGAGTTCAAACATTATTTCTACACAAATGACTTTCAAATATCCAACCCTAATCTTTCTCTCAAATTCCTGTCCCTCATTGTTAATTACCTTCTGGATATTATTACCTAAGGATTGTTCCATAGCTGTCTCAAATTCAACATGTCCAAAAGTGAGCTTATTATCCTCCTCCCTAAGCCTACTTTTTCTCCAAATTTCCATTTCTGTTAAAGACATCCTTCCAGTCACTCAGGTATCTAACCATAGGAAAATACTAGACTCTTCCCTCTGCCTCACAATCCTTCACATCCTTAGCTCCACAGATCTTCTCCCTCCACTCATAATACAATCACCCTAATTCAAAAGATGACATCGTGCATTGTAGAAATGATATACAGTTTGGGTGAGAAGTAGTCGCAGCAGAGTGGATAAAGAGCTAGTCTCTGAACCAGGAAGACACGAATTCAAGTCTTGTCTTCAGCATATACTAGCTGTGTGACCATGAGCATGTGATTTAATATCTCAGTAGTCTAAGCAACTGTCTAAGACTACAAGTTACAGAGAATGTGTTGACCTACATTGGCAAAGGGAGTTTCCTCACCTAATAATTGTCTATACCCAGAAAATCACAGGTTCAATTGCTATTCCTTCATATTTTGTATTTACTTATCCATGTAAAGATAAGCTGCTGGGGTAAAAAAATAATAATAAAGACTTGGCAAATGACTGCATATGGAGGCCACATAAGTGTGAAGAGTCCAGGGTGACTCCTAGATTAGAAACATGATGGCCTAGAGAATAAAAATGTTCCAGACAGAAATGGGAAAGATAAGAGATGGGGTTAGAAAGAAAGATAAGGGATTCCATTTCAGACATGCTTGGTTTAAGATATCTATGAGACATCTGGGTGAGGTCCAGAGGCAAGCTTAGAGCTCAGAATCAAGATGAGGACTGGATACATAACTTTGAGTGTAATCTGCATAAATATAACAATTGAACCCATTGATGAAATTACCAAGAGGGAGGTTATGGAGAATATGGAGAGAAAAGAGAAGTCAGGCCAGGTCAGAGACTTGGGATACACCCACACATAAAGAGGAGATCACAGGTGATATCCCTGCAAAGAAAACCAAAGAGGATTATTCAGACAGGTAAGAGGAGAACCATAACAGAGCTATGAGGAAGACCCAGGAAGAAAAAACTATCCAGAAAGAAAAAACAGTCAGTAGTGTCAAACACTACAGCATGGTGGAGATAAGAACTGAGAAAAAATGCCATTGGATTTAGCAATCAAGATCTTTTACTGGTGAGCTTGAAGAGAACAGATTCAGTCAAGTGGTAGGGATGGAAGCTAGATTACAAAAGGTTATGAAATGAGTAGAAGATGAGAAAGTGAAGAGAATGTTCTTTTTGATTTTCTAGGGGACAGATATTAGACAAGAAGTTAGGGGGATGGTAGAGTCAAGTGAAGGGTTTTAGTTTTTGTTTTGTTTTGTTTTGTATTATTTGTTTGGTTTGGTTTGGTGTTGGTTTTGGTTTTGTTTCGTTTTTTAAGGATGAGGGAGATCTGGGGAGGTTGTAGGCAACAAAGAAGGATTCAATGAATAAGGATATATTGAAAATTAGGAATAGAGTGAAGATGATTGAAGAATAGAGGCAATTCTCATGTAGGAGAATAAGTTGGTGTTTAAATAGTGTAGAAGAGTAAACTTTTTGTGTTCAATGGTACAAAAGATATTGACCTTAAGATATTTACCAGCAAACTATTTTGAGAATAATGATATTTTTTTAAAAGCTGAGATGGACCTTGGAAGTAAAAGAAATAGAGAAATATAAGGGGAAAAAATAATATCTTATATGCATCCCCTGGTATGGCTTTGCAAAAATCCTAAATCCAGATAGAAACCCACATTTCTTTGTTTTCCCTCAGATTGATGAGGTATAAATGATTCTGGGATTATAATTTTAGAATTCTGACATACAGCTGATTTTTTTTCACACACTATGTGAAGATAGTTAGATATTCAGTGCTAGTTAGCATATCCTTTGGCTCTTTTCTAACTGAAACTCATCAATGAGAAGCTGAATTAATATCTGTCTACTAAAACAGGTGTTTGAAATATCCTCAGCAATTCTAAGTTGGTGATATATTTATAGTGGTATTTTTACAGGAGGATCTAGCCACATTGATTTATAACTCCTACACATCTAAATTCCAAAGAAGCACAATAAAATCTTATTCATTCAGAATCTGTGTTTACTGAAAGTTTACCTTTACTTAGCAAACAATATAAGTTAATAATGTAAGATATTTAAAATGTCTAACAGTGTGTTCTCTGTTAAGAAGCATTCATTTGCATGAAAACAACTTAGATGCTAACTACAAATTAGTCTTATCAATTCATTAAAGCAAGCTCCTTAAGAGCCCCTACCCAAAAATTGGAATAGTACATAAACTTATGCTAGTCTAGGTCAAGGTTTTGTATAGTTTTGAAAATAACAAAATGATATCTCTTTAAAAACAAAGTATATGCTATACACACACACACACACACACACACACACACACACGTGAATGTATGATCAGAAAGAACTGAAGGATTTCTGGTTAAGTTGTCATTGATGCCTACATATTTAAAGGTATTTTGTATTGTAAAATGGGTTGTACACAAAATTAAAGAGAGAATCCAATAATCCAACCTTTTGACTTTAATCAGACAATCCTCATCTCTCACTTGGTCCAGGTTGGTGAGGTTTTTTTCATAGCATCACAAAGCTGGAGCTGGAAGAGATCTCAGTGATCATCGATCTTACAGATGAGTAAATTGAGACCCAGGGAGCTGAAGTAATTTGCCCACTGTCACACATGTAGTCGTATCAGAAGGTTTGAACTTAGGCCCTTTGACTTTAGAACAGGTATTCTTTTCATAGTATCACTCTCCCTGTAGTCTTCTCGTGATGATCTCCTTTGAATTCTGTTTTTCCAGGTTTCATGACCCACGTTGCCGAGCCACTCTTCAAGGAATGGTCTCATTTTACAGATAATAGTCCCCTGGCTGAAAATATGATAAACAATCTCACAAGGAACCTGGCCAAGTGGAACAGTTTACAACATACACAACCCAGCAGTGGTGGTGGCAGTAGTGACAGTAATAGCAACAAAATCAATGACCAAACAGGCCAAGGAACTGAAAATGAGGAGCAGACTGGAAATGAAGGAGACACCCCATAATAGCAGCCCTGCCCTCTTCCCTTTGGCACTGCGATCTTCTCTCTGCTAGTCAGGATGAAGTTTGAAATCTCAGTGTGCACAGGGCCATCGAGAGCATGAAAGGAAACAGAATCTCGAAGGGTGTCCTTGTCAATAAACCCAGTCTGCTTCTGGGTTTTGTTCCTGTGCTCTTTGACCCCCTCCGTCCCCATTTTTCTAAGTGTATCAAAGCCATTTGTCACTTCTGATCATTAGCTGCTTGAGTGAGGAACTCCGTTCAATAAGTGCTGAGACTGGTCCCAGGAGCAGGCTTTGCAACTATCAGGGGAAGATTGGAGAGGAAGGAAGGCATTCTTGGCCACAAACTCCATTTGCCCTTGGTCATACTGTGACATGCAGCAGTTCATAGGTCCAGAGCACTGGACAATTTTTTTAAAATCTGGCTACTGAGCTGCACAATAAACCACCAGCAAATTTGGAACTCAGAGGACACTGGTTTTAAGTGTGTGGGCATAAAAGAGGGCAAGAGAAAGAATCTTTTATTTTAATAATAATAATTATAATAATAATAATAATAAACCTTTTTAACTTTTATATTCTGTGCACTAGACAAAGGACCTAAAACTCTGGACTAAGATTACTCTATCTACCCAACCCGTCCCAGAGGAGGCTCATTTTGTTAATAATTTTTATGCCACTTTAGGTTAAGAGACTGGCATCTTCTCAATTTAAGGAACAGTGGTTTCCTGTCAGATCTTCGGGGAAGGTGTTGTACAGTCCATTCCTTCGCACCATTAACCAATCCATCATTTTTGATGCCTCCATTTCAATGACATGTTTATATTCATGCATGTACATTTCCTGTAAATACAAGGCGCTACTGATTCCCATGCCAAAATCCATAAGTATTATGGGATTGCTACCTGTATAAACAATGGCACTGTGAACAGAATATTGTTAGTTTTAATACAAGAGAAAGCATTTGTAAATATGGTATAGAGTTTATTAATACACTATTGTTTGCAGATAAAGGCCTTAACTTTAATCATCTTTCATCTTCTGAAAGCTTCCTGAACTCATGTCCTCTCAGATGTGTTTCTGAACTGCCTTTCCATGCCCATCTTTTTCGCTTTTCCAGCTGAGATCATAAAACAAAACTGTGTAATAATCTTTTTAAGAGAGTTTTTGGAAACTTCACATGCATTCCACTCAAGACCATAGTGTTTAATCTATGGCACCTGACATCACTTCCTCAGATGAATAAGATCCTTCACAAAGCCTGAAGTAATTTTTCAACACAGCAATGTTACCCATTATATTTTGACAAGCCAACTGATGTGCTTGTGTTTCTTAGACTCTTGCTATGGGCTATGGCAGTCGGCAATCTCCACAGGAGACCTAGCAGGTGTCCCAGACCACCTATGACTCTGCCACCATGTACCAGTTTGGGGATTCCATGCTTTTTACACCTATGAAGTTGTCTGTTATGGCTACAGTACCAAAGTATTCCTTCGTTACGGTTTGGATTCATTTCTATGGTCTTAAAAGTAGCTGGTTTTAATTTCCTCATTTCACAAAAACACTCAATCCAACAATTCTGGTTGAAAGGGTGTCATTATTATTTTTTTTTTAAAAGGAAAACATGTTTTCCTTCAAGCCTTTATTCTTACTGTCAAAGGTTCACTGGCTAATTACAGCTTTGGCTAGAATAGTCACCTTAGATTGCTCTTTTTAGTTCCAGTGTTTTGTTTTGTTTGCAAGGATTTGCACGTTAAATCAATTATGGCATTCTACTGCTCTGCCAAGTTCTGTGCATTGAGCTGTGTGGCCGCACAAGTTCTAGCTTAAATCACATTAGATGAAAATAGGTGATGCTGCTTTATTTTATCCTTTAAGCAACACTGCAGGGGAAAAAACGACCATATCTGCTATCACTAAGTTGTTTCTGGAATCCCAGCTATGGACAGCTCAATCTTATTTTCGAAAAAGCAGCAGTTCCCTCTCACTTTATATAATGATACATTAGAAAGATGACCTAATCATGATGAGCATCTTTGGAGAGAGTGTGAGCTTAGCAGAATTAAAATTGGATAGAAAATTTAGGAATGGGAGATGTCTTGGTATCATAACAAATGAAGCTACTAGGTGATCTAATCTAATTGAAAATCGAATAAAATGGATGAATATCACATTGAAGTTCATAAAAAAAAAAGTTAACTATGAGGAGGGCACTGTTGCCAATACATGACATTAGTTCTCCTTGCTCTGCAGTGGTTTCAAACTGACTATACAACAATAATTCAAAGTGTTCTTTACCATCTCTGTGCTTAGTGGGACACCAGTAAAGGAAAGTTTGGATAGGCTCCTCCTCCCAAATCTCTCTAGCCTACCAGTTTTAGCTGGATGTTGTAGAGAGGGCTTTTGAATAGCCTACTGTTCAACATCTTTAAGATCATATCAGGGAAGGTAATCATGGGGCTAATAAAGTAGAGGCAGAAGAAGGTGAGATCTCTTGTAGCTAGATGTGTGGCTTCTTTGTGTTTAAGAAATGCCTCATGTTTAAATTATAATTTAAATAAAAGAATAAGGTTTGTGGGGTGTTGCTTTTATTTTTAACAGTATCCAAGATTGCAAAAGTATGGGTCATAAATATAAACCTTAGAATTTGGAGGAGGGGAAGAGGATGCCACAGAATACTACCAAATACCTAAGGAGTTAAAACTCCCAATGGAGCTGGCTTCTAGGATACAGGTTGTGAACAAATTGAACAATGCTGCATGAGCTAGATAGCAATGTCACTTATTCAGCGCCTGCTTGCCCACTTTGTAAATTCTGTTTCTCCAACTGCATGCTATTTAAACGTTGCCTGGCATTAGCACCTCCAATAGAAGACTGGCAAAGGAAGGAGGTGGCAAAACTAAAATCACCTCTAGGGGCTTCTTCACATTAGCTACTTTCATACTCAAGAGGGGAGCTTAAAAAGATTGTTAGTTACAAAAAAGGTACTGGATTGATTGGATTTTATTTGTACTATTATTGTTCCATTCTGCCATGGTCCATGAATCTTCAGGAATAGACCCTCATTTCTTTGGAAGAGAGTAGTCAAAAAGCCACAAAAGTGAAAAGTAAAATCAAGTTGAAAGAGTACATAGTTGCTAGGTGAGATTAGACATTCGATTGATTTTCTCTATTATGGTAGCAGTGAAGAATGATCGGGCAGAGTAGGCATCTAGGGGCACTATCCTAAATTCAAGTGAAGATTATGCTCCTTTCCTAATTGCTTAAGGGATGCTGATAGTAGCCAACTATTTTGAATACCTTGTGATATTCCCTATTATGACCTGTTATGAGTACCTTCTGCAATGATATCATGATACCTGTTACCAAATAACAGTTTGGAATTGACTCATCCACATGAGCTTAGATCTCACCCAAATTTATGAGGCAAAATATTATAAGTGGATCCTTTTGAATAAAGCTCTACCTTTTAGATTTCAAAAACTAACAACAATTTTGTCCAACCTTGGCCTCTCCAATCATTGGATATTCCAGATGAATAGTGAAAAATAAAGATAATTCCTATAAAACTTTTATGCTATGTAAATGGTCTACTTTTCACAAATACACCCATTTCAAGGATCAATCTGTCAGTTTCATTGTGGGGGGGAGGGGGGGAGCCACAACTGGAAAGGATGGTTCCTCAGGTCGGCTTCACTGTTACAAATATTACCACGTTCATTCATTCTATAGAGGGTGATAGCAATAGGATATGCCAGTAAATGTATTAATAAGAACAATCTCTCCTCCTATTTAACTGCGATGTCCATTCCAAGAATACTTTTTTCCATCTTACACTTGAGATATCTCCTATAGAATAAATAAAACAGTAAGCCAGATTCCCCTCTTAGAGACGTGAGCATAGAAACAATGATGTATACATTTGATTGTCCAATTGTCTCCAAAAGACCATTTCAAAGAACTACTTGTAAGAATACAGTCCTGTATATCAGAATCATAGCCCCCTAAAGATAATTGCTGAGTACAATAGGAATGGGTGAAATGCCCAAATCTTTCCAGAAATTAGGAAGAAAATCAGTATACTCTGTGTTCCCTCACAGTCATACCTGGGTGCCTTTCTATTTAATCATTACAGATCCATTTTTATCAAACTTGACAGTCAAATTCCTACAGATTTCTTAGAGGAACAAAAAAGTCATGCTATGTTTACAAGGAAAAATGTCCTTTCCTTCACTCTCGGATATTCTATACCAGGAAATAATAAACAATAGTCAAAATCTAGTGCTCTAATGTGAAGGTCAGGCATGCTTTTCAAAAGTGCCTCTGGACCCATCTGAACCTTGAACATCTCTGGGGCTAAGCCAGATGGGAAGAGACAGATTTGTCTGTCCTTAGATACTGCCTGCTAATAGAGTGAATGAAGATAAACTCTAGCTATTCAAAACAGCCAACGTTTTGCTTGCTAGTAGTCTTATAGGCAGCACGGTATTGTACAACTTAGCTTCAAAAGGTTCCCGCTCAGATTACCCTGAGCCTTGAGAGTCTTTTAGCTTCTGGCTTAGAACTAACTTTGCAAAGAGACAATTAACCAGGGCCAAAAGAAAATTTTAAATGCTGGGCAAACAGCAGCAAAGAATTTTTGGGGGGTTTTCCCCCATTTATTTTATATTGGGAGACCTACCTAGTTAATTGGAAAAGAAAAAAAAAATCACTATCACCTTGGATTCATTATTTCTTTTTAACTTCTTTGTCAGGCTGGTCAAAATGATCCCTGAAATCTCTTGCTTAAATTACAACTAGGAAAACTATTACTTAATGGTCTCTATCCTTGTCAATGCCATTGGTCTCCTACAGTATACTAGAGGGCAATTGGCTTTGTATGAACTCAGGTATGTAAAAAAAAAAAAAAAGCTTTGCCAAAAAACAATCTTTTTTTTTTTTTTGGCAATTGGGGTTGAGTGACTTGCTCAGGGTCACACAGCTAATAAGTGTCAAGTGTTTGGTTTGAGGCCGAATTTGAACTCAGGTTCTCTATCCACTGTGCCACCTAGCTGCCCCAAAAAGCAATCTTTTAAAATAAATTTAGGGTCCACTTCAACATCTATGTTAGTGGTATATGAACCAGAGAAATTATTCACTTGAGATATGGTTTTAGTCACTTTGTCTTACTCAGATTCTCTTCCACGATGAGACTTACTGGACTGTCTCAAGAAACCCCAGCAACAAGTGTTTGATCATCGCCTCCAGGTGCCTCCTGAATTCCACATTTACTGTCCCCACAGAAAGAAGTAAATTGTACGTGACGTATCCAGTTCCTCACTGACTACACATTTCAGCGCAGCTTCTCAGTTGATGTCCACTGCCTGACATACAGTTGTATAGGATATTATTATGACTAGTTTAAAAAAAAAAAAAAGCTAAAAACTTGTACTTCCTGGGGATACAGTTGAAAACCAAGCCACCTGAATACTGAAAAAATAAGGAACTTTACCCCTATTTGTCACTTGGGACTCTTTTTACAGGACATGATATGAGCCATGGTTGGTTTTAGTATTAAGCCAGTTAGATTTTTAGAGAGTTTAGGTTAGAGATTATTATCAATTGATTGCCTCACACATCCAGACAATAGTCTGAAAAACTTGTGGGTATAGCACTGTAACCTGTGTTAACCCAATTTAAATTTTGCTTTTGCTTTTAAGGGGAAAAAACACCCAAAGAAGTTGGGGCTGTACTTCTGGTCCTTTGTCTACATTTATTCATCCTTTGCAGTTGAAGCAAGATAGAATCAGTTTATATCATATCTTTGATCTGACCATTTTAGCCATCAAATATTCAGTAGATGCAGACAAAAAAATTGAGGTAATTAAGGGGGGGTGGGGGGAATTAGGGGTATAGGGATCTGAACTACGCTACTTTAATCGGATGCAGCTGGATTACTTTTTATATTAAACAAGAGTCTGTCTCCTTTGTCTTCCATCATTTTTAAGTTAACATTATTTAGCATAGAAAACAGAGAAACATGGTCCTATTTGTTTTCTGACTTTACTAGGGAAGACTATGAATATAACTCTAGTTAAAAAATTTAAAAAAAAAAAAGGTTAGGTCACATTCATAAAACATGCCAGGCTATCCAAGTTTTCATTAACCCAGTGAAATGTCTATCAACCCACCATATAACCAGATAATGGCAAAGATCCTTAACTCTTTCAGTATTTCTCCTTCATTTTTCTTTATCTGGCTACCCTGAGAACATTCTAGTGAGTTCCTGAGCATGAGAGCAATAGCTGCTAAGCTCCATTCAATTAAACTCTAAGTAACTAATCTAGATGACTTTTTTAATTACCAAAGGTAAGCAGTTGAGGGCCCATCTAAATGACTGGATTAAAGATGGGTCATCTTTTCACGGGAAAGACATGATTTCCATAGGGAAACCATTTCTTCTGAAAAAGAAAATGGCAAGAATGCCACTACATTGTTTATGTGTCAATCATTACTCTCATATTTAAACAGAGAAAGTATATAGTCATGTCCTTCAATATATCTACTTAACAAACAAATGAGATGAGATTCACTGTTTCTTTAATGGGTATGTGTGCATTTTTTTTCAGCAGTAGACAAAGGGGTCCTAATGAGAGAGGTGTGGAAAAAGCTAATTTGGTTATCAATTTCTACCTACTTCTCACTTTTCACTTGAAATCAAATCTTCCTGACACTGAGAGCCAACCACTAAGTTTACAAGAATTTCAGTGCTAATGAGCAAGTCATACATGTGGGAGGAAAAAGTCACTTATAAAAAAAAATTAAATAGTTAGTGTTTGCACAGTGTCATCAGTGTGGGATTCAATTCCATGGAGATTTCATTATTAATAAAAACAAACTAAATTTATGTCATGGTCTCAAGAGAAACTATAGCTTTCAAAATAAATGGGTTTTGGAACACAAAGAGAAGCTAGCTGGTGGGATTGTGAAAGTTCTCAACCTTATAAAACATAACAGAGAGAAAACTGGACAGTTTTTGAGATTCAAGGGTGCTCTCAATCAATGCAACCATTAAAGCCTAATGGAAAAATACAACTCAGGTCATACTTCCAGAGGAAAACCATATTCAAAATTCAATATGGCTGGCCCAGTTCAGATGCACAGGAAAAGACCAGAGAAATCTTTCCATCTGTAAGGATTCAAGGTGTCCCAAAAGTCTTAATGCAGTTTTAAGCTTTAATAACTCAAAAGAAGAAATGCTACAAATTTACAAAAAGAACATGTCAAAAGTTACTTAATTTTTTTTTAATACTGATATGATTCTTATTGAAATTCAACATAACTCTTGTGCCATGGTTCTAGGCAGTTTTCAAAGTCTGTAAAAACTCTAATTGAACTTTGTAAAAAGCTAAGTTGAACAGAAATTTAAATAAATTTTCAAATGACACTTTTGTAAGTTTGTAGCACTCATACTTCTGAAGTTATTAAAGCTTAAGTCTGCACTAAGACTTTTGGGACACCCTATATCATATGAGGTAGTTTAATATAATGGGAAATAAGCATTCAGTTCATAGCTAGAAGAAATGATCTCAAATCTCAGTGCGTCTATTTATTATCTGTATGGTCTTGGGTTTATCACTTAATTCCTCCAACCTCAGTTTCCTTATTTGTAAAATAGGGAGGGGGAGAGAGAGAAGGAGGAATGAGAAGACTAAATGATTGATAGCAGAGGCCTCTTCTAATTATAACTCTTATGTAGTTAAATTCCTTTTAGAGGTCTACATGGGCTTTAATAACAAAAATATTTTATTTCTAAATAGCTCATCTACATGCTTCCAAAGTTTTCTTTTAACTCAAACTCCAACAGGTGATAAAGCCTGCCTGCTTTAATAGTACATCTCCATTTAATATGGTTTAACCAACATTCATCCCCAAACAATAACTTATAAAAACAGTGGTCAGCCTCCCAGTTATGGAGGGAGAGTATGAATATTCCATTGTAATGGAGATTTCCTAAGACAACTCACTGAACTGGGAATAGATGCCCTGGTTATCACAAGTGGAAGGGATTAATCTGAATAAATTATTGGATTCTTTCTTTGGTTGATTCTATGCCACAGAACAAGTAGTGAGGATGAGACTATTTGACTATGGAGACTTCATGTACAGCTGGGTTTTGAGTCAGGAAGACCGGAGTTCAAATCCTGCCTCCAACATTTAACTAGCTGTACAAACCTGAGCAGTCACTTAACTTCCCTCAAATTCATTTTCCTTATCTGTAAAATGAAGGGGTTGAACTTGAACGCCTGTAAGGTCCCTTCCAGCTCTAAATGCATAATCCTGTGATTTCTATGAACTATTTAAGGGCTAAGATGCTAACTTTAATATCTCCAAAGTCTCATTTTTGTAGACCATGGAATGAGTTACAACTACTGAAAGTATAACTGCTCTTCTTTTATTGGCAATTTATTATTTATTCTTCATGTAAAAGAGCTGGTACCTACTCCCAGGAAGAGACACTTCATCCATCAGGGAGCAGAGACCTCCCTCACATGTGTA